CATTCCAGCATGGCCACCCTGCAGGAAGCAGCACCGTTTATCTCCTGGCAGTTCACCAGGATAAAATGGGAGAAGACCCAAAGCAATGCAGGCCTGAGGATATACAGCTACAAAATGCTGAAGCAGACTCACCTGATGAGACCCAAAATACATTCTTCACGCTGATCTGTTATGGCAAAATCCTGCAAGATCTGTTCAACCCTGCGCAGAGCCATGTCTTCCTTCACCAAGTACTGATGGTACAGCTTTTTCCACGGGATGAACTGGAATGTGAAACATACACCACCAGCTTTCATCTCAAAGGGCAGGACAATAGGCTTCTACTGGCAATAAGCTAATCAACATGACTTCCAAAGAAGACATGGAGTTCAAACAGTCCCTGGAGCTTGATGGAAACAAGTATCTAGCACGAGACAGAGAAAAAAAAAAGGGAAGAGAGAAAGACTTGTTCCTCATAGCCTGCCAACAAAAGGCTGTTATTTCTAGAGTGATGGGAACAGGGAGACATTGGTGTGGCTTCAAGTGTCCAAGTGTTAAAGGAATGAGTATGTTTTCAGCTCTATTGTACAGATCTGCTCAGAGAGGGATCCGAGTGCTTTAAATCTGTGTGCTTATGAAGCCCTGCCCTCCCACATCTTGCTCCTTAGACTGGGCAAAAGTTGATCAACACCAGGTTTACAACTGTTTGCAATGTGAGGGCCTTGACCATAGGTGAATGAAGCTCTGTAAAAACAGAATTGAAGGTCCTTCTCTTAAAACTGACCTACAGCAGACACCACATGCAGGCAGACGTGCACACAGTGATGCACACTGGCTGTAAAAGGATAAGGCCCAGTCCAGCACCTGCATTTCCTGCATGATCACAGCTGGGGGGAAAAAAGACAAAGTGCAAGGAAAGGAGTGAAAGGAAATTTGGTGGAGTGTTACAGGATGTTCTTTCCATGTATGGGAAGAATGCTCAAGTAAAGTGACCCTGGTATTGAAGCTGTCATCTGAGGAGGTATTCACTATGGTCACGAATGCCAAAAATATCTAGTAAGAAAGGACTAGGGAATAATCAAGGGATTTAAAGGTACAAAGAAAGACAGGCATACAGCAACCACAAGACTGAGAAAGAGCAGGGCAGTAAGAGAAAGGCCAGGCTCGAATCAATGTCACAGCAGTCCTTACCCTTGGGTCACTAACAATAATCCTCCAGCGGTGGCACACCAGGCTCAGGTTTTGACACAGATCAGTCACTGGTAGGAAAGCAAAGATGATCCTCAAGACTTCATCAGGCAAATCTTCAATGCTTCCCTGAGGTATTTCCCAGTTGCGAGTCCCCAGGAGCCCATAGTGTGCATCAGGGACTGGCTCGATCTCTATTTCATCATCAAGTTCTTGCTTGATTTGACTGAGCTCAGGATGAACCACCACTGCCTTCTTCTCAGGCTCACCCCACAAATCATTCTCTATCTGAAGTCTGCTTGGAGCTGTGGAAGACAGAGGCCTTTTTCTTGAGTTTTCCATGCACTCATCCTCCAGAAATGAGGAGGAGTCACCACTTGTTTCCATCACATTGGAGATGTTACTTTCATCATCTTCAGCAAAGAAAGGATCCAGCAATTCTTCCTTGATGCTTATGTTTTTTGTCCTACCAGCAACTGCCTGCTGTGTCTGAGAAATCTTAAAGTAATCCATGATGTTCTTCTGCTGCCCTTGGGCTAAGGAAAAAGGAAAAGTATCAGTGAAGTCAAGAGGAACAGCACAAAGCACACTGCTACTGTCTGAGCTAACAAGGAGTTTGGCAGTAACTTCAAGGTTTGATTCCAGCACTGCACCATGAGAAGATCACCAAGCCTGTATCAGGCTGCCCCAACTGCAGGCTAAATGAGATGGGACTCTTTTTAAGACCATAAACAGTCATTTCCTGCCAAACGCTTCCTGGCTGCAACGTTAGAAAGCACTGGAGACTATAAACAAAACTGAAGCTTGGCAAAAGACTGCTCCCAGCTTCTCCCTTTTCTGATCTGTGAAGCCCATTGATTCAACTTGTCAGCACCAAGAGTGCACTAGGACCACTCTGTCCTGCTCCTGGTCTGCAACACATCCTGATGCTTAGCTAAGAGGAAATGCTGGAAAAAAAATAAATCACAAGCTGATTTTAACACATTTAATTCCCAGATGCTCATGAAAGTGAAGCTTAAAGAGATCTCATTCACAAGGCACTGTCTAAGAAAAGGGAAAGAAAAAAGCCATCCTACTAAGTCTTACTGATGCCTGAGTCCCATTTGAACTCACCTTGCCTGACATTTCATTCCCCTCCAAGAGCACAAGCTCAAGGATAGATGACCCAAATCCATTTTGTTCTACTGTAGTTTTACTCCCCCCACACCCTCAGGCTCCGAAGCAAACTGTGTACCTCTTGGTTGCCTCCTTGTTCTATGAGTGGGTTGGAGGCCCCTGTTGACATCTCCTCTGCTTCGCCTTTGATTCAGTGGCTGTGTCAGGGAGGATAAACCTTCAGCGCTCTGCCTGAGAGCTTCACAGTCATCAGCTGTAAGGTGCATTTTCTTAAATCGCTTCACTGCTTTGCCAACATGCAAAAACAAATAACAAAGCAAAAGGCAAACTTAGCAAACAGTCACCTGGTGCACGGAGATACAGAAATTTCTTTTCAGAAGTGTTACAATGCAGCCCCAGTGTTCTGGTCAGGAGTTTCTGTGAATAGCTCCCAGGAGGAGCTTTTACAACTCAGAATCACAGAACTGCAGGGGTTGGAAGGGATTTCTGAAGACCACCCAGTCCAACCCCCATGCTAAAACTCCTTGATGCAATGCAACATCTGGATGATGTCTTCATCCTGCGGTGCCTGACAGTCAGAACAAAACAGGGCAATGTAAAACCAGAACCTGTGTACATTCTGTGTACATTGAGGAATCAAATACAGGCAGCTGCATAAAGGCAAAATGTCATTAGGAGAATTTGCAGTGCAAATGCCCGAGACAGAAAGCAGTGACTAAGAAGGACAGGTAGGAAGCCAAACAAAATCATCCAAAGAGTGTTTTGTTTTTGTTTTTTAAGAAAATCTTACTGGAAATCTGCAGGAAGTCCTCTCCTCTTCAAGCAGAGCAGTCAGCAGAAGTCATACAAAAAAAGCAACTTGCACCGACATCGGACACACGCAAAGAAACTGAAGCCACCCCAGAGGGTGGGCTTCCTCCTGGTATGAGAATTACCAGTAAAAGACACTCTTATCGCTACTCCGTGCTGCAGAAGATATGCTTCTCTGGCATATCAGTGGCAGCCAGGAGGGTAACAGGCTGCAGGATCCAAGGCTCAGCTCATTTTGCTTGCAGCGTTTCCTCTTTTTCATCCATGTCAGCTCTGTGGGGCAGCACTCAGAGGGCCTGTGGAGCTCCTTGTTCTTCAAAATGGGGCAGGCAGGCAGAAAAACAGCAAAGCAAGGCAGACTGTGAGCAAAGGAGGTGGGCGTTAAAAAAAAGTTGCCCTTTCTCACTTGATATTGAAAATGTTAAATGGCTCCAATTGTTGGAGTATCTCAGTTCTCTTAAGCATGAGGTCGTGGTGAATGGCAGAGCTGGGGAACCAGCTTCACCCAGGGACAGCAAAAGGTCTCACGAGAGATGGGATGCGGGATGGGGGCCCCCCTATTGTCAAGGGCCTCATTACCAATCCTTCACCCCACTATCAATGAACCCATTGCCAAGGACACCCCTACAACCGAAGGGTCTATGATCAAGGACCCCCCCCTCAGTTGCCAAGAGACTCATTGCCAAAGGCTCCCCTGTTGCCAAGGGATCCATTCCCAAGCATCCTCACCACTGCTAAGGGCCCCTTACTACTAAGGGCCCCCCTTCCTTGTCTCTCATTGCCAAAGGATCCATCATCAAGGGCCTCCCTACTCTAAGGGACACCCCCTTGCCAAGGGACCCTGTTACCGCCATGGGACCCATTGCCAACAGCACTCCTATATCCAAGGACTCCTTTCTGTTGCCAAGAAACCCCCTGCCAAGGGATCCCCCATTACCAAGAGATGCATTACCAAGTGTCCTACCTACAGCTAATACCCTCCGCCCCCCCCCCCCATTGCCTAGGGACCCCCTTATTTCCAAGGGGGTTTCAATGACCAAGGTCACCCCTATGGCAAAAGGATCCACTGCCTATTACTCAACCCTTACCTAAACTGTCAAGGGAGTTCCTAATTGCTAACTCCCCCTGCCAACATTGTCAAGGGACCCCTCTTCTGCCCAATAACCCCTATTACTAAGGGCCATCCTCCAATGCCAAGGGACCTTCCCCATCTCCAAAGAACCTGTTACCAAGGGATCCCTTTACTACCACAGAACCCCCCCCATAGTCATGGGACCCATTGCCAAGCCCTCCCCCCTCCTATATCCAAGGCACCCATTAATAAGTCCCTCCCCCTACTCCTAAACGACCCCCCCATCGCCCAGATACCCCCTTATTTCCAAGGACTGCCCCACTACCTAGGGACCAACCGCCCTCCTATTGCAAAATAACCCATTGCTGAGGGTCCCCTTCGTGGCTCAGCCCCCACCCCCATTGCTAAAGAACCTATCACCAACAGCCCCCCCCCATTGCCAAACTCCCACTACCCACGCTCTGCCAATTACCACCAACTCCCCTACTCGCCCCCCTTCTAACATTTGTCACAGCAGCCCCCCCTCCTTACCCCCCTCCATGCCCAGGCCCTCCGCTCCGCTCTGCTCCGCTCCTCCTACGGCTGCAACCCGCCTTGTTGCTAAGGGGAAGTGCACTCACTCCATTTCCGGCACGCTCGGCCCCGCCTCTGCTCTCCTCCGACCAATCACACCCCGTTTCCTCACGCTGACCAATCAGAGAGCTCTCAGCATCGCGGTGCTGGCCAATAGCGAGGCACTTCCGGATTGGGCCGGGTAAGGGCGGGAGAAGCCATTGAGGAGCTGAGGGAGAGAACGTTCCCGGAGTTTGTTTATCACCGCCTGTTCCGGGTGTGTGTGGGGGGGAGGGGGCGGGGCTAGTGTGACGTCACGGAGCCGCTGATTGCGTCACGGTGACGTCATACCGCAGGAGGAGCGCGGGTAGGTCCTAAGGGAGGGGCTGGCCCTGTCCCGGTGTGGTAATGCGAGGAGGGGGGGATAGGATAGGATAGGATAGGATAGGATAGGATAGGATAGGATAGG